TCTCATTCATATATTTGACTCAATTTAAGACGCATGGCCCTTTTTCCCCATAGGGGTTTTTTTTGTCCCATTGGCGTTTCAATATAAAAAAAAATAGATGACATTTGGTAGTCCTATTGAGAATCAGGTTGCTCGGGATTTTCTGAATATTTTCTCTCGGGAAAATATTTTTGATGATTCCTGGGGGACTGATTTGAACGAAGTAAGGTCTATAACTAAAAAATTTCAAAATATGAAAGCTCCAGGTGATGATGGAATTTTCTATATCCTCATCAAAAAACTCCCAGAGAGTACCTTGTCTTTCTTGGTAAAATTATTTAACAGATGTTTCCATTTGGCATACTTTCCTGATAAATGGAAAAATGCAAAAGTTGTTCCAATTTTGAAGCCGGATAAAAATCCAGCTGAAGCTTCTAGCTACCGTCCAATAAGTTTGCTTTCTTCAATAAGTAAACTTTTTGAAAAGATAATTTTGAATAGAATGATGCTTCACATCAATACGAACTCAATTTTTGCAGATGAGCCGTTTGGATTTCGCCATGGGCATTCAACTACTCATCAACTCTTAAGAGTTAACAATTTAATTCGTTCAAACAAATCTGAAGGCCACTCAACTGGAGTTGCTCTTCTAGACATAGTAAAAGCATTCGACAGTGTTTGGCATGAAGGTTTGATTGCTAAATTGAAAAAGTTTAATTTTCCACTTTATATTATGAAATTAGTTCAAAATTATTTAACTGACAGAACTCTTCAAGTAAATTATCAAAATTCCAAATCTAATCGACTACCTGTTAGGGCAGGAGTTCCTCAGGGTAGCATTCTTGGGCCTATATTGTATAACATTTTCACTTCGGACCTCCCTGATTTGCCTCAGGGTTGCCACAAATCTTTGTTCGCTGATGACACAGGCATTTCCGCTAAAGGAAGAAGTCTACGTGTTATTTGCAGCAGACTGCAGAAAAGTTTAGATATTTTCTCTTCTTATTTACAAAAATGGAAGATTTCTCCCAACGCTTCCAAAACTCAACTTATAATATTTCCACATAAGCCTAGAGCTTCGTTTTTGAAACCTGGTAGTAGTCACATAGTCACTATGAACGGAGTTCCAATTTCCTGGTCAAACCAAGTGAAATATCTTGGATTAATACTTGACCAAAAATTAACTTTTAAAGATCACATTGAGGGCATTCAAGCCAAATGTAACAAATATATAAAATGTTTGTATCCTCTTATAAACAGGAAATCCAAACTTTGCCAGACGAATAAACTTCTAATATTTAAACAAGTTTTTAGACCGGCCATGCTTTACGCTGTGCCAATATGGTCTAGTTGCTGCACTACCAGGAAAAAAGCACTTCAAAGGATTCAGAACAAAATTCTGAAAATGATTTTGAAGTTGCCTCCCTGGTACAGTACAACCGAAGTACATAGAATTTCGAATGTTGAGACTTTAGCACAAATGTCCAACAAAATAATTAATAATTTCAGGCAAAAATCGTTGCAATCCTCAATTGCAACGATTAATTCCCTTTATACTTAGATAAGATTTAGTTTTAGTTTTTAGTTTTAAGATATCAATTGTTATACTGACATGCAGGTTAAAAAAACCTGTTTAAAATACTGAATTGCCAAGACATGAACAATGTAAAAACACTTAGATATATATCATAACAATTAAGGCTGGTACGTTACTGCAGTAACTGGAGCACCTAGGTTAAAATGAAATGTAATTTATTTTGAATTTGGAACAAATAAAGAGTTAAAAAAAAAAAAAAAAAGATGACATTTGGAAAAATTGCAGAGATTTAATTTGCATTACATTGCCCATGTATGATGATAAAAATATCCACTATTTGGCATATACACTGGAGTCGCTTTTTACGCGGTTTTTTTTACACGGTTTTTTTTTACGCGGATTTCGGAATTTACGCGGTTTTTTTTACGCGGATTCCGGAATTTACGCGGTTTTTTTTTACGCGGATTTTGGTTTTTTTTTTACGCGGATTTCAGAATTTACGCGGTATATCGCTTTTTACGCGGTTTTTTCTTACACGGTCTTTTTTTACTCGGTTTTTTTTTTACGCAGATTTCGGAATTTACGCGGTTTTTTTTTACGCGGATTCCGGAATTTACGCGGTTTTTTTTACGCGGTTTTTTTTTACGCGGGACGTATCACCCGCGTAAAAAGCGACTCCAGTGTATAGAATGTACAATTTTTAACGTAGCACCATTGCACCACCAGACCGTAAACATTCAATTCGGGGTATAGTACAGACCACCGCTGTCCAACGTGCGGCCCGCGAGCCGGACGTGGTCTCTGGCTCTCAGCAACCATATCATTCTAGCCTAATTTTATTCATCATTATGAAAATCTGGGCTAACTATTTTTTTTTGCAATTTTTGTAAGGTTTCATTTTGGAGGTGGCAACAGTCATTTATCGGTAGGGCTACACGGCGAATGAGAACGACCCAAATTTGAGTTTAGCTTATTCATACATCACATAAAGTTCAGGAACCCAGCGTTTGTCCAGGAACAAATTCCCGAATATGAGAAAAGTAAAGATTGGATTCACTCAGCCTGTTGATACTACTAATGTACTGAGTAAAATTTTCGTAAATTTTCATCATTTTCCGGCAGATTTTTGAGGTTTTCCCCAGAAAAACATGAGGCAAATTTACTCATCGCTGAGTTCTTGCACTTTTGGCGATTATAAGTAAACTAAACTCATATTTGGGTCGTTCTCATTCGCCGTGTGGTAACGCTGCCCACGAAGGTCATCCAATCCTCTGCCAAGAAGGAGGGTTGCTGAAGTCACCACCATTGGTGGTGTCAGCACTGTAGTCTTTATGCTATGTTTATATGTGCATTAACGACACGTATGCGTTAAAAAATCTTATGTGAATAATCATTGATGACACTTGAATTTTTCATGATTAGCTTGCTTAATTTATAAATTAATATAATTCCTGCATGTACGCGCTTGTTGAACATTTATCACGATTATTTTACCACGCAACAAATCAAATATCTATGTGGACGGAGCATAATTTCCCAATGTTTGCATCAGCTGTCTTAGATTGGCAGATAATCGAGCCAAAGAACCAACAAGGTTCAAGCAAAATATTGGTGGGTGACGTTTCTGTCACCGGAGTGAGGCCATCTCACTACCACCAACAATCAATACGAAACTAACGATTTTTAATTGGCTCACTACTTGACTAGCCTATTGGTCCCATGCAAATCGACTAACGTACCCCATTATAGTATAAATTCCAGTACTACACTATGTTTGTTTTGATTCGCTATGAAAGTTTGACAGATAAAATGAGGGGTTCGTGGATTTTCCTATGTTTCGAGGGGTGAATCGATTAGCTTGGGACCGAAGATAGTACCAGAGCTGATCCAAAAAGTTGAGCTCGTTTCTTCGGGACCTTCTGGTCTTAGAGTTACCTCTATGCTACCACCGAAGGCAACATATCAAGAAGATTGGCAACTCTTAAGCTTTCGTGCACAAACGTCATAAGTTAAAGTGCCGAACGAATCTGATAGCGGAGATGCCAACCTAAAAAAGAGCTTTGTTGCTAATTTGCACATTTTTCTATCTGTTTGGTTTCACATTTACTCAAGCGCAGCGAAACTATGTTAATCGCATGGATTGTGGTAAAGTTGCCAGTCTTTTTGATATGTTGTCTTGCTACCGTTTTTTGTTTCTTTTGATGTTGCTCCTATTGGCCGAATTCCGTTTATCAATTGAACTGACAGCTAGAAATCTACAGAGTTTGAGTGGTCTGGTGTTAATGATGCATAAACAAAGCAGAAATTCATATGAGAATAAACTGCCAGTTCTACCGTGATCGGTCAAAGTTCTTGGTAAACAAAAAAGTTTGCTGATCGCAACTGTCTCGTGGACAGCTTTATTGCGTTTTGCACTTGGGCGTAAATTTTAATCCGGAAATTAGTTCAATGGTTAATAAACATTTTGAATTGCGAACACTACATTTTAACGCTACGACGCAGCTATAATAGTCACTATAATTCATTTTAGTTTATTCGTGATATGTTCGGGTATAAAAATGTTCTACAATCAATGAATGTTTTTTTTTTAATTCTATTATTTAAATTTTGTATCCCAAATGCTAAAAATGTTTTCTGTTCATTTGTATCTAACATAAACAATATTGATTCTATATGATACAAAAATTGGACATTTTGTTCGTGCTGGTGAAAGGAAGGTCACTAGAATTAAGAAATACGTAGTTTATGAACAACCAGTGCTCCATTTTCATATATTGTATAAGTGCACACTCAAAATTAAAATTATGGAACATCCCAGGAAATCAAAAATTTAACAATACAATATTAATAATGAAAACTCATTCGTGATTGAATTCAAGAAGAAAGGTAACAGAGTATCGTAGTAATTCGGGTATAATTTTATTAGATTTTCTTGAAAGGTCGGTTTATAGCACGTTTGTGTACGTTACGTTTGTAATAAGTAGTAAGTTCATACTAAAAAAATGCATGCCTATGTTCACTGTATGGTTCTCTATGAACGTCTGATCACATAAATTTGGTTATGGTAGTATTGTCGTTTCTCTCGTTAATTGCATAAATTTTATATTTGTTGTATCGTCCTATCCTACTCCATCCGAAACTGTTAGACTTTCAACCGTTATAAAGAAACGAATCTGCTGGGTGTTGGAGTATCTAAGGATAAGCTGTATATAACGCGCTGGTTCTAAACCATTTAATATACATTAGATCGATCCGGTGGTAGTGGCGTTTTATAACCATCTCGGTATTGTGATTTATAGTGTCATCAAAACGAGTATATCCGATTTGCAGCTCATGAATTCATAATACCATCATAAAAAATCAAAACACATAACCATACCTACAATTACGCTGAGTGCGTTTTACAGTCAATCATACATTAGAACGATTGGAATAATCATTCAACTTTTCTGCATCTTTTCCTTGATCTATTGCTTCAAAACAGACGATGTGGGAGATGATGAGTCCAGTTGGCACGATCGGGTCAGTTCTGGATTTGACCGACTGGTGGCATTCGCTTCAACGGAGTTGGATAAAACTCGAAGGTCCAACGAGGACGCTCCACCTTCATCGACGAGTTGCACTACCTCACCAGATTCCGGTATTAACCAGAGTGACCACAGTCGCACTTTCTTATCGTCGTCGTCTTCCTCTTCTCAGCTGGACGTTCCACCGAGTAGTTCAAGTGCCGGTAGCGGCAGCAGTGCAAGTAGCGGCCTAATGAAACACATTGTGCCAATCATAAAATCATCACCAGCGGAACCAGTAGAAAGCCCACCGCTTTCGGATGTAGGCCTTCCGCGAACGCCGAGTCCATCATCGAGTCCCCCTCTAATCTATCAATCCGCATCAGCTGTATCATCTGCAGCGCATAACCTGCTACACGGTGGAAGCAGTTTGAAGATCCCTTTGAAATACCAACGTCAATCTAAGGTACCATCGGAAAAGCACTACAAGAAAAAGTTCCGAGAGCGAAACTGGGAGGAATACGAGGAAAGCATCGGTGGAAGACTCAGTTCCACGGGTAGCGCAGAACCAATGGATCAGGACTTTGCCGATGGGTACGGTGGTACAACGACTGGTAGCGCTACCGGAGGTGCTTCGATTGGTATGAGCAGTGGAAATTCACTAGAAAATTCACAGCACAGCGACAACCTGCTACATCATCACAAGCACAAATCTGCCAAGTTTCGTCCGAAAGGCAAGGACTGGAACTGGGACGATGAGCATTCTAATACCTCCTCGTCTAGCTCACATCGACATCGCTCGGGAAACACTCCTACATAATCATTTCTGTAAACCAGTAATCTGTAGGTATCGCCGTCAATCCTAGTTTTCAAATTCCAATGTTACTATCTTCTGTTATTTTAATTGTTTAAGTTTCAAATCTGGTACGGAGCTCCAAAAGCAAGGTGCAAAATAATAGGACCAGAATTAAAATCCATGTGGCCTCTCATGACGTTTCAAGACATCGATGTGACGCATTCAAATATTTATTTTAGCGTATTTCAGACATTTTCTTTGACGTTTGATCTAATATTGATGCTTTGGATACAAGATTTAGCTAAAATTTAAGGAGTTGTCCATTTACTTTGGAGCTGCGTACTGAGCTTTAGCGTCGAGTCGAATTTTATAAATTACTATCTATAAATCCTATTCATGTAAACCAATAGTTGAAATTTACATTATATTTTTTTGTTCATATATGAGACCGTTCGATTGCTCAATTCATTGTAGTAAAACATATGACACAACCTTTTAATGGTTATTCAAACCTGCCGGAACTAATATACATTTGTTGAAAGACTGAATTTTAACTAAAATGAACCCAAACAAAAAAAGATAATTACATGTGTAATCACCATCCAGTTACGTAATTTGTTTGGCATTATCATCGTAATCACATACCTACGGCAAGTTTCTATCTAATCAGTGCATTTACTTGACATGATAAAAGGTTCTACCAGCGGTGTATCGTAGACTAAAAAAATATAATTACTAGACTTTTGCCATTTTTTGTGTGTTTCCGACGTTGGCAATATGTCTCCGCTGTCTATCATATGTCGGTAAATTTTACTTTTAAATTCCAGGATCTAGTTTCCGCGTATGCGCAATTCCAATTTTGTGACGATGTTTTACAGTCAAAAATATACAATGCGTTATGTCTGTTTGTCTGTACTAAAACTATGCAACTTGTGTTCGATTTTTCAACCTCAATGGATAGGAATAGATTGATTGTGCTACATTTCCCCGAATGTCACTTCCTCGAACGCCATTTCCCCGAAATTCATACTAACATATACCCCATTTCCCGAATGTAATTTCCTCGAATACAAATCCAAAAATTTATAAAATACCTTGACTGTACTACTTTTCTTAGGTTGGTTTCGCGAGTATTAAGAAGACATCTTTGAATATTGCAACAATTAACCTTAAAAGAACAGCTCATGATTAAAAGAAGGGAAAATCTCTGTTCAAAGTAAATCAATGGGGCGAGAGTTTTAGTGAGGCGGCGGCAGTACCAGAAGTGGAAGTGTAAAAATTGGTAATACACTGAAGTCTTTTTTTACGCGGTTTTTTTTTACACGGTTTTTTTTACACGGTTTTCCACGATTTACACGGTACGTTTTTAACGATTTCTTGACAACGATACAACCTATCGACTTGATTCCAATCACATTATCCGTTTCAAGCTATTTGTAATCGAATGGCATACTTAAAAAAAAAAATCACAATTTTTGGTGTAAATACAGAAATTTTTAAAATATGTCTATATGGACCATATCATGCTTTAATTACAAATGGCATCAAAATCCGATTTTTTAAAAACATTTGAGCATGCGAAAAATCAAAATCTCGTAGGTTTTTTTTTACACGGTTTTTTTTTACACGGACCGTATCCCCCGTGTAAAAAAAGACCTGAGTGTATATTTTTAGGAGATTTTCCCTTATTTTATACATGAGCAGTTCTTTCGAGAACTTTGGCAAAACAAATATCGATGATTTGACAGATTGCTAATATATTTTTAGGAGATTTCTTCTTTTTAAATTTATTTAGGAGATTTTCAGCCGTAGGCCGTATTTTTTCCTTCTTTTATAAATGTTTTTTCGAAAACTTTCTCAAAACTCGTGAGATTGACGGTTTGACAAATTGGTAATGTATTTTGAGGAAATTTTTCCTTCTTTTATAAACGAGCAGTTCTTCCGAGAACTTATGTTAGGTCTATGGATTTAAAAATTGATAACATAGTTTTACGAGATTTTTCTTTTATAAACTCAAATCGAGGAATTTGACAAAACTTGTGAGATATATGATTTGACAAATGAATCGAGGAATGCTGTGAGTTTTACACTCACAACAACTGACAGCATAGCGCCACCTTCTATGGACGAAAAGTTAAACCGAAAAATAATGTATGCAGATTTCAACATTTTTATTAAATTATCGTTTGTGGAGGCGAAACGAGAAAAAATATTTGGTAGGGGTGTTGCGCCATAATATAAGCCACCTTCTGTACCAATATATATATATATATACAAACAAGTTTTGCTAAATTTCCCGAAAGAACTGCTGATTTGTAAAAAAGTAGGAATAAAAATATTTTACCAATTTATCAAACCATCGATCTCACATGTTTTTCCAAAGTTTTCGAAGGCAAAATCTCCTTAAAATTTATAACCAATTTGTAAAACCGACGATATTTTGCCAAATTTTTTGATATAAATTCAAAAATGAAAGATATATATATTTTCAATTTGTCAACCCTAATATAAAAGTACCATATATACATATAATACCACAAATGGTTCAACCTTATCCCACACCACCTTATACCACAAATGGTTCAACCTTAGTATATGGAACTGAGTACTGAGAACTTAGCACTTTTTTAAGGTTATTTTCTATGGATTCCCCATCGATCATACAAGTTTTATGCCAAATGGGACCTTACGGCAACTTGTACTAAGATACTTTTCAGTTATGCGGGAGATAGGAATAATAATTTGTTATGGATTTGTTTACTAACTTTTTTTTCGGGGATATGGCGTTCGGGGAAGTGACATTCGGGGAAATATAGCACAATCGAATAGATTGCATGTAATTTTGCTGGCGTAGGCAAATTAGAGTCATAACCGTGGGGCATATGAAGTTTTTTCAAGTACCGTGTGGTGCCCGTTCACCGCTCACTTTAGAGCATAATTATGTTTACAACGTTAGTATAATAATTTATATAGGTGTATAGAGAATATGTTTACACTCTCTTGAAGGTCATTATCATACACGGAAAAAAGTTTTCATGTAGTTTCCATTGGGAATGCATATTATATTTCACATAACATTCATGTGATCACATGAGTTCTATATGATAAATCACTTAAATTTCATTTGACACATAAGGTTCATGTGATTTTGTGGTGCAATTCCCAATTATGATATCACATGTAAGTCATGTGAAATTCTAATGAATATTTTCCATTGGATCTGTGATTTATTCTCTCAATTGAAGAATCGATCATCAAAAGTCTCCGGTTTTTCATTGAATTTTTGCAGAAGTGTTCGCTTTTGACTATTTGTGCTGAAATTCAGCCATTTATTGATATGATTTTGATGAAAATAGATGGCCTTAAATGCTATCGGGTCAATCTTGGCGGTTGTCATAACCCTGTTTTCGTTCTTTGTCCTGGTCTTGCCCCTCCATCTGTTTCCTTGATAGAGGAAATGCACCGAGGTAGGAATTTACTTTTTCACATTCTTATATACACCACGCACATCAGTGTACATGTCGAAGCACAGGTACGCTGAGAATTCTTCCCGGATGACACGCTTCACTTTACCGTATTTCCCTAGCACCAACGCTAGATCGCGGTCAGAAACTTATGGTAGAAGATCATCAACTCGCACATAACATAATAATCCCTCACATGCGACATGCGTACATTAACTGGCTTTCCATTCGTACAGTGGCGTCGCGTAACCTCACTTTTACCAACAATCAATATGAAACTAACGATTTTAAATTGGCTCACCACTTTAGTAGCCTATTGGTCCCAAGCAAACGATTAACGTACCCTATTCTAGTCGAAATTCTAGTACTACGCAATGTTTGTTTTGATTCGCTATGAAAGTTTGACAGATAAAATGAGGGGTTATTGGTTTTTCCAATGTTTCGAGGGGTGATTCGACAAGCTTGGGACCGAAGATAGTACCAGAGGTGAGCCAAAAAGTTGAGCACGTTTCTTCGGGACCTACTTGTCTTAGAGTTAAAGGGTGTCCACGATGAAATTGCCACACACAAAATTGATTCGCAAAATTCGAGTTTTCATCCGATTGCCATCAAATTTTCAGGGATTGAGAAATAACTATTAAACTTCATTTTACCATTTTACTCGTATTTTATTTACAGTCCATACGCAAATGCCCGCACCTTGGCCTTAACCCCGGCCATAAGATTCTGCACAACCTGTGAATCAACCGTTTTTTGCATGTAAACCCATACTTTCTTCAGTTCCTCGACTGTCTTCACTACCTTAGGTCGTTTAAGAAGGTGCTGCTTCATAATCGCCCAGTACTTCTCGATGGGGCGGAGCTCCGGAGTGTTGGGAGGGTTGAACATTTTCGGCACGAAATTCACCTTATTGTCCGCATACCACTTCAGCACGTCCTTGGAGTAGTGGCATGAGGCCAAATCCGGCCAGAAGATTGTTGGGACGTTGTGGGCCTTCAGGAGAGGAAGCAGCCGCTTCTGGAGGCACTCTTTTATGTACACCTGTCCGTTCATCGTGTCCTGGGTCACGAAAGGTGCACTCCGCTTCCCGCACGTGCAGATGGCTTGCCAAACCAGGAATTTCTTCGCAAATTTGGACATCTTCTGAGTGCGGACATGCTCCGGAACGCTGAACTTATCCTTGGCCGTGAAAAACAGGTTGCCGGGGATCTGTTTGAAGTCGGCCTTCACATATGTTTCGTCGTCCATGATGCAGCATTCAACTTTCGTCAGCATGTTGAGGTACAACTTCCTGGCACGGGTTTTGGCGGACTTGTTCTGCTTCTCGTCGCGATTAGGGGCCTTTTGTACCTTGAACGTTCGAAGCCCAGCTTTAGTTTTGGCCTTCTGGACAAAACTTCGGCTTAGGTGCAGCTTCTTAGCCACATCCCTAACGGAGGTGTTCGGATTTCGGTTGAAGGCCCCAACTACGCGGTTGTGATTTTTGGTGTTGTACGGAATACTTTTTCCTTCACTTCTGGGCTTCCGATCGGTGGTCAACCGTTCCTCGAACCGCTTAATCACTCGCGACACCGTGGAATTCGCGATTCCCAACGTTTTAGCGATGGAACGATGCGAGAGATCCTTGTTCTCGTGATGAATGCGCAAGATTTTATCACGCACGAGCTGTTCTTTCGACTCCATTTCCGCGAGTTTTGATCACAGGACTTTAAAACTTGCAGGATGTAAATAATGCACTATGAACTAAATCCACCCAAATTTTCATTAAATTCTACCCAACGGTTGAAAAGTTAGAGTAATTTCATAGTGTGGCAATTTCATCGTGGACACCCTTTACCACCAACTTCCAAAACCAGATTTGATGCCATATTCATGCTCGAATCGGTTGCAAAATGCACAAAATCTTCTAGTTTCCTCGATAGCTAGCAATTTTAAGCAATATTTTAACTATTGTTTGTTTTGGGAGTTGATGTACAGGTAGATTGAGGTTAAGGCCACGCCATTGAATTCGCGTAAGGGAAAATTAAATATTCAAATTAAACGTCTATACACATAAATTTTATGAAAAGAGATTTCTCCTCAGCTATCCTGTATATCGCTTGCATTTGAACGAGACTTGCGTCCAGGGCTTTTATGAAATTAGTATTCGCCCATGGTGGGCTTCGCACTTCCATTCCGGAGGAGAACTTGACGGTAATCTTAATTTCAACGCCACTCATTATCAAATTATTTGCTTCCAAGGGCAATGTCACAAAAGCGATCGAGTTGCAGGCAAAGAACAAAAGCGCTCCGAACAATCACTTGATCGAGTAAACAAACTGTCGATAGCAATCGATACCGAAAGATACAACTGTTGCTGCTTCTACAACTGAAAGCGAACTGCTTTACATTTTTTATAAGCTTTGAAATAAAGAATAATTTAAAATATTGATAATGAGCCTCTTTGCTATTATTAACCCTTTGTTAGTCAGTACCAATAATATTGCCAAATTGTTTTTTGCTAACAAACGATCATTTTTTATCAGAAAAAATAAACTGTTGTAACTATTTTCGCATTGAGCATATTTAAAAAAAGTTTAAGCCAAATAAAATATTTATGTTTTTATAATAAATGAGCAAAATATCAGCTCATTTGGCTCCTTCTTCTTGAAAATATTGCAGTTTGGAAAAGGTTGCTAAAAAAGAAGAGATTTACTGAAATTGCTCAAACTTCCAATTGACTCAATGTTTTTCAAGATAAGATTAGCACCATTTATTTCTCTAGATAAATTCACATAGGTATTTAATTCAATATTAATTGCGCCAATTATTTTTCCGTTTGATTAATCTAGTTTTTACAATTTGAGGAAAAATCGGGCAAAATTAGTCATTTGCTGA